CCCTCGCATAGGGGCTCTGGCCAACTGACATCGCGACAAAGCCTAATAGAAAGGGCCTCTGAACCATCTTGAACGTGGTGTTGCAGCTGGTCTTCGCGCCACGCAACAGTTACGAGAGGATACACTGCCCATTTGAAACCATGGCATGGCCGTGGGAAGACCGCGCAGCTCATTTCATTCGTTGCTTCCTGGGCCGGTCAATCCAACCGTTGGCCTGGTTATTGAGGCGGATTATGTAATGGCGCCCCTATCAGCATCTTACCGAGGGTATCTCACCTCCCCATGGATCCCTCAACCAACACCTCCCTTTGCCTGAGGCACCGGCAACACTATAGCAGGATCCTGTGTAGTGGCCTCTCCCTCTCCCTTTCGATGATCGTGACATGTTGATCCTTGGAGACCTTGTATCAGTGACATAACGTCGCGACAAGGGTGAAAATGCCGTAGTGCTGGCCAGTTCACTCAATAGCAGCGCAGCGATCAAGAAGGCCCAGAACGTGTCCAATAAGACACAATACAAGTGTATGATAGACCCAGTAGATAAAATGCTTCGCTAGGGCTGTATCAAGATCTACTTTACTACCTCAATGTCATCATCTTGAACAGCAGCCCTTAACTCAGACAGTTTAGTCTGTTAGGAGGTTTATGCAAGATAAGCCCTTACGATTACACTTCCGCCATCTAATCACTTTTATAAAAGCTCCTTGATACCCCTTACATTGTGTTTGCCTCCCATTATCATGACTTTTGTGATCACTCCTCCAGGGGTGAGTAAAAAGACTGTCCGTAGGTCTCAGCAAGCCAAACAAGACGGCGACAGGGCAAAGACTATTATGACCAGAGTGTGGCGTTCCGCATAAGTAAAAGTTCGTTTTAGTCCCTAGCCACGTTCTAAGTTCCAACGCAGGACCAGTCAGGCAGTCCTCCAAAGCACACTCCAAGGCACGAAAGCTGGTGAGCATGACTGCCAACGTCATCATTTGAGGCTTTGCTCGATCTGACCACTTAAGTTGTACATAATAATGTCTTCATTTCTAGTCGAATTGACCACCTCTCTGGCCAGTCAACCTGTGGCGCACCTCCAACCCCGCCCCCCCTTTCTCCGTTGACTGCTAACGCCGATCACGGGTCTGCTTGCCTAGGACACTGTCAAGCATGAGCGGCCCTCTACCTGTATGGCTGTAGCGAGGTTTGTGTCGTCACCGTCCAAGTTCTAAATATAGTAGAAGTCCTGGACCCTGTCGGTCCTGGCACAAGGACTCTTCTAGTTGGGAGTGCGAAGGGATCGATTGGAAAGATCTTTTTTCGAGGTAATTTGCCAGCTGTAGCCTGCGCGGCGCAAAGAAGTCGCGTGCGCCGTGGAGTATCGACGATCATATGTAGCCTGCGTGGAGGCTCTGTGGGTATCGAAATTGACGAATCAGGCTGTTAATAATTTTTCGAGTAGAATCGCTGCCGGTGCGTTACCTCTTTTGGTTTAGCCGAGCCCGATCGGGCATCGCGCCCTCTCGCCGCTTGGCCTAGCTATAAAGAGCCCGCTGCTCCACCGTCTCCTCGGTCGTCCCTTCTTTTCTGTCACTTTGTATGTGAAGTCGTTGCCGGGAATTCCGCCTTCGGTTTAGGCGGCCTGCCCCTTCAGGCATGGTCACACGGCCTTGGTGGCTCGCTGCTTTTAACGTCTTTATAAGAATCCCCTCTCTTTATCCCTCTGTCCTCTGACTCTTTTTCATTCACTCCGTCGCGCTGGCGCTCTCGTTTATGTTTCACACGATACAGCCTCATTCTGTCCTTCACTCCGGGTCCCTCGATTCTCTATCGACTTTTTCACAAGCCTAGCTATTCCCATTGTCTTTAATTCGTGATTCTATGGCGTATCTAGTATGTCCCCTTCGCCAACAGGTTGTTACTCGCGGACGTGAAAACAACCAATACAGCCGCATAACTACAGCCACATCTCAGCTCATGTATTCTATGGGAACCGACTCAGGGATTCAATTTCTTACCTCGCCCCAGCCATAAAAAGCTCTATAGTCCTCGCGTTTGTAAAAAGTGAGACGGTCGAGAGGAAGAAGCCAGCGGATAGAATGATTGTCACCAGGCGGGCGGCAGGACTCGATATGCTGTACAGAACCGCAACTGGTAAGAGCAGAATCAATGTGGCGAGCCATGTTGTTAAGATACGGCTGAATCTGCGCAGTCTTGAATTTGGGAGGAAAATGTGTTCGTCGCCGATGATGTTGTGATGGCATTTGTCAAACACTTTAGGAAAGTACTGTGATCGTTATCAATGGGATCACTCTGATCGTGAAAATCGGTTCTTGCCCTGTGAAATCTGGTGTGGACCCAAAATGTGCAGTCCTCGACTATGGATTCCATCCGTGTAACAGCATTATCTCCTGAGCCAGTGAGATTCATCAGATCATCACATCGCTCTAGGTACGAGGTTTCTTGACGGGCAAGGCTGGAGGTCCCTTGAATCCAGTTTTTTAGGCTCTGGATGTCTCTCTCATTTGACTTTGGCATCGATAATGCCCGACAATGCTGTTCCAGCATCACATCTAAAAGGAATCAGTCATCACCACTCATAAGGTTATGAAGCTATCGAGATGTACCATACTCAGCCAAGGACTTCTTTAGTTCTTGGAATGTCCGATGTCGGGCCGCGTTGCCGTCTCGACGACTGCACCCCAGAAACAGCTCACGATCTTCACTTCTATCAAGTTTATCTAATGACTCTTCGAGTATGGAAACCTCATCCTGTTTCAGGAGCAGCAGTCTCATTCGTGTCTTGGTAAATCGCCGGAAGTTGTGAAATGCTGCGTGTGTACTGAGGAGAGCACTATATCGGGGATATCCGGGACGAAACGCTTCCACTTGTTCTCCCAGATTAGTTGAGATCAAGAACGATTTAGGATGATGTACGGTCTATGTTCTCTTGCAGACCTTGCCCAAACATGTTACTCCTTGAATATCTAGCACCGTAGCTTTCATCACACCGCAATTGAAGGGACTAAATATCGAAAAATGGGCAGAGACGAGCAAAATATATCTTGTTGCTCGAATGTTTCCAACAGCTTCTTAATACGCAATTTCTGAGACAGAGGGATTCGACTAGGGCATGACACGAAGACTTTTATGCATATGGGAGTAATTCTGTGTACTGCATTGTGAAGGATTCGGGTGCCTAAGGCAGCTTTCAAGGCCAACGCCACCCCGTAAGCACAGCCTTCTTCATTAAAGCCTGCCTGGGCCAGCCTCTCTCAACTGGCAACTGTTAAATTGGCGTTTGGAGAAAATCTGTTGTCTAGGCTGTCTGTCAAGCAACTAACTGCGAAGGTGAGAAAGTTGGCGGCCACCACGAAGTACGCTAGGTCTAATCTGGAATCTGGGTAACCACATCAGGCCGTGGCATAGGTCAGTGCACCGTGCTCAACACATGCTCCCAGCACGCGGGTGCTTGGTCCTCTCTTACTCTCCACGATAACTTCCCCACCCTTGGTCCAACTTTGGCTTCAAGAAGATTTTCTGCCCTCTCTTTGACTTTTTGAAGCATCATGGATAAGGCTCAGCCTCGAGCTAAGACAGAGAACGAGGCTGTAAGCTAGTCGTCATACGCGGAATCCTTATGGGAAGATGGGCTGACCATTCCCAAGCCTGCCAGATATCAGCAAATCCTTGATGATTGGGAAGGGCGCCCAGTGATCAAGACGTATGCAAGTGTAAGGTTGTAACAACCATAATTCTAGCCAAGTATGCTCATCTTATACTCCAGGGCAGCAAATTCTGCGTAGGTGACAAGATCTACATCTCTGAAGGTCGCACATTACGAGGCCCTTTCCTTGTTGCCAGTGTGCCAAACGTTGGGAGGTATACAATCAGCAAGGAAGACGGTACTAAGCTAGACGAAGGAAAGGTCTATGAGGAGGATAAGCTTGAATCTGCGGAATAGAGAAGAGACGGTGCTTTCTGAAGCGTATTAGGGCCCCATTATTTGGGACCGGAGGACCTTATGGACGATAGTCTCACCGAGTGCGTTAATAGATGGGTGCTCCCTTGCCCAGCTCGTCAATAACTCGGGTCTGGAATGAAGTTGCTAGGCGGGACTCGTTCTCGTCATCCAATTCCACTTCAAAACTCGAAGTCAGGCACACATGCACTGCTTCTTGGTACGAAGCTCCAGCATAATGAGCAAGCCGCTCTAAACAGGCGCCTTGAAGTCTCTGGAGCATCGAGTTTGGTGTTACTGGACCCTTTATCTTGTGGCTCACAATATGCAAAGCACTTTGCCATAAGCCAATTTCAAGCAGTACAACACCCAACGAGTAAATATCATGCATCTTAGTGTGGCCTTTACGTAGAGACCCTTGCCTGCTTGGATGGCGATACACGTTGAAGGCAATGTCGTCGTTTGAACGTCCAATTGAGGGGTCTGATCCTGGACGGGCAAATTCGAAGCCTTGTAGGAATGGACGAGAATAGTCGATTGTTGTCTCATTCTTGAGGCTGAAGAAGAGTACATTGGGAGAGCTAATACCTTGGTGAACCCAACCAACAGAATGCCACTTCTGCACTGCTTTTGCTAGAAGGAATGCAATCTTAAACCGATCATTCAAGGACGGCCTCGCGGAAGCTTTTGAATGAAGAATAATTGACTGCAAGGTGTGGTATGCACCCGGTGTTGTTTCATACGGATGAGGTATTTCGAAATCAAGAACGAAGCGATTTTCAGAATGATCATGGGACCAACGGCAGCAACGTAATGAGAGAAAGCCTGGGCTCTTTGGTGCATTTAATAGCTCTGCTAAATGAGCCACTCGCGCCGTCAAATCTGGCATCTCCCCCGGATCAACGTATCGACCGTAATTTTTATACTCCTGCATAACTGCAAAGTGAGCATTGGCGGCAGCTTTAGACTCACTTTGAGGCATGCCGAAGACGCTGGATTTGTGGACTAGCCGACGTAGCCTTAATTGATCTGCAATGCCGAACATTTGGGTTGCAGGGTCATCGATCGCTTCGCTCAGAGCGGAGAGATCGGTAAGCCTGGTGGAGTTCAGAATCTTGCGCTCTACTGTATCGACGAACGCAGAATTTTCTGCTTCGAGCTGAATTAGGAATCTCCGAACGCGCTCTTTAATGATGATCATGTTCTCTTGCGTGCGAAAAGCGCTGTTCTGCTGAGCGATGTGCTGTTCAACAAGTGCTTGAACGTTGTCCCATGCCTTTAAGATGTCTTCAAATGCAGGCTCGTCCAGTGTCTTTGCTAGCGGCTGACCATCCTGTCGCACCTTCTCAACGAAGCTCTGGATCTGAGTTGTGGTTTCAAGTATATTTTGGACATGGAGGGCGGTCACCATCCGAGGCATGTCAGCGCCTAACCACTGGGCTAACTCTTCTATGTGTGCCTTGTTGAGCTGGCCTACAGTTCGGAAGAGAAGCTGAAAATAAGGACCTTCAATATCCTCGTTGGCACTCGAACAAAATTTTTGTGGAAGGGGTGACAATCGCATCGTCGGTTGAGTCGGCGTAAGCATAACGTGAACTGGAGTTGCATGTAGATTCGCCTCGCGAGCCACCAACCGTCTGTGAAGGTCTGCGATTGCCACATAACCGTTTCTCTGTACACATCGCTTTATCTCTCTAATCAATGCCCGGGTGAAAGACCGCTCCCCAGGTTGGGGAGTCTTCATGCCCATAGCTGATGCTGCCAGAAGCTCAAACCTACCTGGACGCCGTTCTCGGGCCCGGCCAGCCTGCGCGGCGAAGCAGCAGTCCAGTAACAGCAAGACATCTGCGTCTGCATTTTTGATATCGTCTTGTATTCGAAACCACTCAAGCGTGGGCTCTCCCTTTGCGTGTCTTTGTAACTCGTGAGCTAACGCAGAGCACTTTCTGTGGGGTAGAGTTCTTACGCAGCCCAAACTGATCTTCTTTCTTCCCCTTGTACTTTATCGTCATTCCGATCTCCATGTCCACCATAATGGATGATTAGCAACGGTGCACCTCCTTTTTCATCCGCAATTTTAGCAGCGTGCAGCACGGATTGCGTAACGAAGTTATGCAATTGCAGATAACTCTGTGACGTGGGAATGGCGAATTCCTCTACTCCATACTGAAAAGAATCTCTGAACATCTGTCCCAATTCTTGACCTTCCGTTTGAAAATCCTCATGGCCGTCTTTCCAGTAAAGAATGAGCACTTTTGCATAGCAATAAGTACGCGAACGCGCCGATGTCTGAAGTTTCTGGTTGAGTTGCTTAGTAAAGTCGTCGCTCGTCTCCATGTTTCAAGTTCATGGCAGCCCAGAGATAGGAAGTTCGCAGATCCTTCATCAACCCGCATTGACCTGAAAGGGTTTGATCTGGTTGCTTGAAGAGAGCAGGTGGTGGCACAATTCAATGCGATTATCATCGTAGGATGGCAACGGAGTAGACCTTCTCTAGGCAACTCGTGCAGGCTTTCAGTCTTTTTGAAACCGGGCTTGGATTTATTTGCCTTGAAGGATCAGTGATGATTGGGGCCAACTACAGTCACGCGCGAAAGTATCTGACCAAACTGCAGATTGTCCATATGAGTGAGAATCAGATGTTCTAAGAAGTTGCGCAAACAACTAGACAAATTTCGTCTTAACTTAGACAAGCAATTCAATATTAAGAACGTCGAGGTTCAGCCATAGAAAAGTGTGCCGCCTAACTTTAGGATAAGGGGAACTTGAGTGATATACAGTCACGCGCGAAAGTATCTGACCAAACCTCCAAACACACCAAAACCCGCACTTTTTACAACTAAATAAAAACTTTAGCTAGGTGTTAATCCCATATTTAAAAATTTAGAAGATATTCAAAATTAGTAGATTAATCTTTTATTAATAGAAACTTAGATCTTAAAACTTATAGATTTTAAACAGGAAAACTAGAAAGTAGAATAATTCAAATTTTTAATAAAATTTATATGAGACTCTATATAAATTTTTTCTACTTTTTTGAGATTTTGACTTTAATTCTGTTCTATTTAATATGTAGATATTTTACATAAAAACTTTGTATTTATCAATAAATATTTCATCAATTCTAAATTGAAATCATATTTAAAATTTAGTAGTTAACGCCTAGCTAGAGTTGTTATAACTATTTTTAAAAGTCGTCTTTTTGGTGTGGTTCTACACAAATTTTCAAGTTAGTTAGATACTTTTGCACTAGTACTGTACCAAGATTTAGATGGGGTGGGTCTAACAGCAAGCTGCAAATTTTAGGGGTCTCCCAGGCTGAGCTCGGGAATGAGGCGGCTCCGGACACAAAGGACCCCTTTTCCCCTCCAGTTCAAATGACACTTTGCCGGTTGTATCAAAACACGATGTACGTAGTATTTATAATGCATAATCTCTCGATGATGATTGGATGCTGCTGTAGGGCTCAGTCTACTAGAGATCAGAAAGTGTACATTATAGTAGATCACCCAACTTATTCCAGAAACTATATGCGCTATTTGAACAGGACTTTGATTTTGCATATTATTATAACAGAATAAACGCGGGAAAACTAGCTAATAGGCGCTTATACAGTTTAACAAATTCCCTGATTAGCCTTTACGTAGCGTAGCACAGCCTCTGGATGTGTTATAACACAGTACCACATTTGGATCCAGACAAACATTCGTTTACCCCTTCCCAGAATCACTCTCTGAATGTCCATTTATAAAAGACTCAGGTAACGGCGCCCTAGATCTTCTGATGTTAACCCGTTTAGGCTTGCGAAAATACGCTAAAGTCGCCCCCTCTCTAGAAGTATAAGAACATTCGTCGGTCTCTTTACGAAAAGCATCCGCTTAGCATATCTGTGAGGTGGGCCTATTAGCGCTCTTTCCCGGCTATATAAAGACTAAACCATATTTATAAAACATATTAGCGTACAGGAAGGTTATTTAATATTAGCTTTCTTTACTAAGAAGAATAATTCTAAGATAATATAAATAAAATGTAAAGGTAAGCTAAAACATTTTTATAAATAAATTTTCTTTTATTCTAAAAATAGATGTATATGTAAAGCCTCTTGATTAGGATTAACCTTATTAAGAGGCCTAAAACTAGACCCTAAGAATAGAATATAGATAATTATAGCTAGAGGACTCTTTTAAGGGACTTATAATTCTTTGTCTATAGGCTAAAATTTACTAAAGTAAATTCTTTACGTTATTACTAAGAAATTATCTAAACTTATCTCTTAAATAATGAACATAGATGATTACTTTGACTCTGATTACAAAAGCGGGCTACCAGGCTCTAGACGCTTTACACTAGAAGGAATTCTTTTTATCAGATTATTAATATAATAGGTAAAGGAATTCCAAAGACGGAATAAGCTAGATATACTTAAAAAGCTCACGAACGAAAAGTCCCTTTTGCATTAGCGCATTACATACTATCAGGAAAGTTGGTCCAGAACACTTGAGTTGCTACAGAAGGCGCAGGAAGCTCTATTTTCAATGAGCACCGCTCTTGAGAAGTGCTTTCAAGAGAAAAAGGCAGCTGAGAAAGACTGGCTTGCGTTTTGGGGGATTATTAGCGACTCAAAGAAAGACTCTAGGCAGGTTGGTTGGATTTAAGATTGTTGTCGTGTTTATAGCTCGCCTTGAAATATACTAGTATGAATCCAGATTTCTATTCTATAATTGCTTCAAAAAAATCGGCCAGCCTTTGTAGTAGAGCAATTTAGCTATATAGTAGCGACAAGTTTGTCGTCTGCTATTGTTAAGACCTGGTGACCCTGTTTGGCTCTCCTGCCAAACTCTCCACCGTCTGTTTGATTTCCGCTGTCCAGTTTTTCAACTCTTTCACATTAGCCTTAATCTCTTTGCACAATCTACTCTGCCATTAGATATTAAACGATCAATAGGCATTATAGTTACCTTGTCTTCTCCTCTTCTATTCTGTAGGCATCCGTTAACTGCATCCAACAGTTTCTTGCTCAACCAACGACTTACCCGTTCTGGATTCCCCTGAGGAGGTCTTCTATTTTGTCCATCCTCTACTGGAGCGTCGAGACAACTTGTTTGAGTTCCTGGTATTCACTTGGAGAATCGGTCAAAGTACTTTGATCTTTAGCAGCTGACTGAACCTGTAACAGTGGACCCTCTGGAGCAGTTGCCAGGTAAGTAGAGGGATCAGTTTGTGCTTCCCACTCCCAAAAGCCTGTTGGCATGCTGGCCGTGTTAATCGAATCACACATGCCATTTACAGGGAGCTGTGACCCGTAATCCTGGGAAAAGTGTGATAAAGGATCACTCAATCCGTAACTTTGGTAATCTCTCGTGAAATTAAAATCGGCTTGTAGTGTATCTGCGCTCTCTTAGTTATTAATTGGTTCAAGAATTTGCCATTGTCACGTCTCTATAAAGCCTCACATCTTTATTCATTAATGTCGAGGCGGTAGTGCAGCATTTGTATGGCGCCAACAGGTTGCTTAGCCATAGAGTACTTCCCCACTTAATGCAAGACCCCACTCAATGCAAGATTTTTACACATTCGCAACCCAACTTCAACAGCACACAGATAGCTCAAAACAGCAGTTGTCCAATTGAGATTTTGCACATTACTAGAATATACAATCAAGAAGCTATAATACAAATTTGGGCCCTATTCTCTGAAGCGCTGTGGCAGGGCGACCACCCGACCGCGTCTATTCACAATTAGCGCCTCCGCGACAGCGACGTTGGCAGTGTCAACAGCAGTTGAAGGAGCTGCTTCAATTGGGCGCGGGGGGCTTCCTTGAGAGGCTGTTATTGAATTAACAGTCTTTTTGGAGCGTTTTGTAGACGTTTTGCGTGGTTTTGGCGGGCCAATTGACACTCTCCTGACACGTGATTTTGATTCTGCAGCGGTTTTGACAGCGACAGCGACGTTCTTGCGTAATTCCTGCTCTTTTTTACGTTTCTGTGCTGCTAGAGCTTTCTGCTGTTTATCCTGTTCTTTTTGACGACGCTTTTCCTCTCTTTCTGCCGCTTTCTGCACCTTTTCCGCCGCTTTTGCCTCCTGACGAGCTTCCTGCCGCAACTGACGCTGTAGAACAGCTTCCTGCTTCTCCGCTTGTAATTGCTGTCGTTTGAGAGCAGCTTCTTCCTTGCGTACAGCCTTTTGTCGCTTTTCTTCTGCCTCGGCTGCTTCCTTGCTCTCTTGATAGGCCCTAGCAGTAATGACCTTTGTTGGACTAAAAAATTGAGCCTCACTAGTTGCCTCCTTACCTAATAGATTTAGACGTTTGCCACGACGTCTGCGCTTCTTTTCCTGGACAATTGCTGCTCGTAGACCTCTGTTTTCATGACTTTGTATCTCAAATTTGGCTGCCAATCGTAATACCGCTCGTTCAAGAATTATGGCTTTTTGAAGAGAAGGAGATGCTTTACAAAGACGACAAATAGCATGTGCAGTTTGGGGTGTCGTAATAGGTAATGGAGGAAGCTTGAAGGGTGTAGAAGGACTGGAAGACGATTTTTGAAGCTTCTTTATCGTCATTAATGGTTATAAAGGCCAGATGCCAGTCTTTAAAAAGGCGTTTTGGATATTTTTTGCTGTAAAACTGACTTTCCAAGCTTCTCTGAATATCGGCTAAAACATTCTTTTTGCCTCCATTTGAGCGTTTTGTGGTATATCTGTGTGCTGTTGAAGTTGGGTTGCGAATGTGTAAAAATCTTGCATTGAGTGGGGTCTTGCATTGAGTGGGGTACGGCGGACTATGTGGCGCAAACGGCCAATTCAAATTTTCAACTCCGCAGCAGGGCCATGGATTTGCCCACCAAATTTGTATGGGGAATTCCACGAACTTGTTCGCTGAGTGAAATGCATGCGGGCATTTGTCTCCTGTTACTAGTAGAACTGTTCAATTGCCTGTTTAGGTCTCTAGATAGCTGTTCTTGGTGTTGCGCGTTGTTCGCAGGGACAAGCGCGTTAATTCTCCTCCATATCAGGACCCTCATTACTCAATTCAACCTCCTCAATCTCCTCCATCGCAGGTTGTTAAGGACGCTAATCAAATGCTCTAGTTGGCTTCTCTGATAGAGCTAATCGAGGCTCTCTATCGCTTCTTAAATGCTTATTAACTCTCGCACGAAGTTGGAGATAATATGCGTGATAAGGAGTTGAATTATCATTCTCAGGAGCTTACTAAGCAGTGTTGAATCTAAGATGTTGTAGTTGATTGTGATATTATTAATATGTCTCCGGAGGCAGAAATTCATCTATATCTAATAAGGATTAGTATTGATAAATATATTTATCTGAACTACTTACTCTATTCTTGTACGTCATTCTGTAACCCTGTTAAGGTCTCAGAGTTAATTAAGAGGCCCTGATTCTTGATATAAGGCGGAGGATGATGATATAGAATATAGGGCTTGCCTAATATAACGTTCGGATGATTACATTACTTGCGAATAGAATAAATATTCCAAACCCGTACGAAACCCTATATCTTTGTACGAAGAACTGGTATATAGATAGCGAGTAAGGCTATCTGGTCACTTGGGATCTTCAGATCAAAGCTACCTTTTTGAAGAAGAGCTCTAAAGTAATTCTATATTAGATTTAGCATAGGTTTAGCTATAAATAGTATATTAATATAACTTACTCTTTATTAGAATAGTAATCCCTTTATAAGCTAGTTCTACTAAGCCTTAATTCGCTAGTTTGTTGTACTAGCTCTATATATATAGCAGTCTTTTAATTACGTATTAGGGTCTGCTACTTATTATAATAGATAATGAGCTTAAGTAAGAATAACCGTTTTACCGCTATAGTCAGATCATATAAATCAAGAATGCTAATTTAGTATTTCGATTATATCAAGATACTAACAAAAAACGCTAATAGCTATACGCTCTAAGATATCAACGTAGATTCAGATAATATAATAGGAATAAGCATTAATAGCTCTATATATCTCAATACTATAAGAAGCAAGCTTAAGATATCTATCCACAGATTGTCACGGAGTTGACATGGAGGCCTCCTGGGGCCTAGATAGAGTCGTGGTCCGACTCTCTCTAGGGCATCTGGATAAGGATTAATATACTATTCCAACTGCATTCAAGTAACTTTGGTTACTTGGGCGTAACTCTTTTGTGAAGTTGGATCACTATCTCACAGATCATAAGAAGTTAGAATCAAGTACAATATATTCGCTATAGTAATATTACATATTTTGTACACAACATTTAATAATGTTAGAAGTAAGTATATAATAGATAGAGTAGATTCGATTACTAAATATAAATCAGTTAGTAAGTAATAAAAGTACTAGATTTAACTATATAGTATAGCTAAATTTATAAAGATATACATATTAAGTAATATTTACTTCTAACTATTGAAAATAAGCGTATAATAACTCACGTCTATAGCTCTTAATAATGCCCTTTTGTAGTTCTTTTATTATTACTTTAGTAGTAGTCTCATTTGCTTCTTATTAACCTTCTGCTATACAGAGACTATGCTTTAAGCCTAGCTTATAACGAAGCTGTAAAAGAGCTGCCTCTCTAAGCTGATATCCCTCTGTTTAAAGAACGCGATAAAGCTGATTGTTATTAAGGCTGTTAAAGAAGAGAGTAATTATTTGATCTTGTAATGCTAGCGTATCTTGAGTCTACTTTTGTATAAAGATATTTTACTCTTTTAGACGTCTTTAGAGAGTATAATTAGTTAGTTGAGTTTGGTACGAATTATATAGATATCGAATAATCTCTGCGTTCGTCTTCTTAAGAGCTATTAACACTAGAATCTTATTCTTATATAAATCTAAATCGATTTTTATATAAGGCATAATAAATATTAATAAGAAAGAATTTTGTCAGAGGCAACAGAATAATATAAAGGCTTTAGAGGACTTAAAATAAATGAAAAAAGTGGTAAATAAATTCTATATTTTTGATTATTAGCTAGATATCTATATTATTAACTTCAAAACTTTATATAACCTTCTTATAATGCTATAGCCTTTATGGCTTCCTTTTTGCGACGTTAATTAAGCTTCTTATAATGATTTTACTGATCTTAAAGAGTGCCTTTATTATCGTCTTTGTAATCTAGCGTTTAAACGGTTTATCTCTAAATCGCAGGAGATAATAAAGCTACTTGACGACTTATTAATTCTGATACTAAAAAAGACGAAAGCTGTCTTTACTACTAGCAATAAGCATATACGAGATCCCTAAACCTAGCGTTTTTAAAGATATACTTAATATTTTGTTACTAAGCTAGTATAATAGATGATAACGCAAAAGACTTAGCACTCCTCTTCTATATAATCTTAGACAAATATTCTAATTCCTTTAAATCATACGATTAATAAGCTAATAGCTAAAATCTATTAAATAATGATAGTAATCTAGTATTATATAATATAAGAGAATACAGAGCTAATAGACTATTAACTATTAAAAAGAGTCTCTTTTAAGCTTTAAAATAAAGTAATTATAGATCTAAACGACTTTATATATAATTCTCTGCTAAAACAGGTCCGAGAATAAAGAACGACTATTACGCAGAATAACAATAAGAAGCTTTATCTTGCGAAACGCGTAGAGTCTAAACAGACTCTAGTTGAGCTATTAATAAGTGCTGATGACGTTCGTACGATTAAGGAGGTAATAGAGTACTTCAGGATTATTAATAAGGAGTACGTTATTTATATTATTATTAAACGGATAAAGCTTAAGCAGCTAAAGAAGGAGCTATCTGACGAAGAGCCTATTAATACTAAGAAGGAGAAGATCAAGAAGAAGAAGACTAAGGAGAAGAAGATTAAGGAGGAGGCAAATACTAAGCTTATTCCTTGTATAGAATCTATATTATAGAGAATTCTTAAATTCAAGAGACCTTCTACAACAGAGCCAGAGCCTTCTACAGCTGAATCCTATAAACAAGCTTATTCTAATATTAATGACTCCTTCGATCAATCTGCTAAAGAGCTAGATTAAGTAATCAAAGAGACTGATGCTCTTCTTTAACCTCCACTCTCAACTCTAAAGGAGAAGAAGAAGGAGAAGGAGAAGAAGAAGAAGAAAAGAGTTAAGAAAGATACAACATCTACAAAGAAGGAGAGAAAGAAGAGGGGTTATAATAAGACGCAGGAGCTCCTCTATAGCCCTTTAGCTCTTTGTATAAAGAAGAAGATAAAGGATAAAACTTAAGAAGAGGAGGAGGAGAAGAATCAACTCTTTCTACGGCCTCCTGCGGCCCTCCGGCCCCTCCTATAGGGCCCCCCCTACTGCCCCCCTCCATCCTGCCGCCCTCCGTCCTGCCACAACGCCAACGACACCAGCACATAATGAAATTCTCCTCTAAAGGAGGTTGTGTAAAGAGAAGAAGGAGAAAAGAAGAAAAAGGGCCTCTTATATAGTCTCTCAAACCGTTCAACACGTGGTTTGGCCCTTGTTCAACACCAAGAATAGCTATCTAGAGTCTCTAATAGGCAATTCAGTCATTGAGCAGCAACAACAACTCTACATTTACAGAAATCACTCAGCGAACAAGTTCGTGGAATCCCCCATACAAATTTGGTGGGCAAATCCATGGCCCTGCTGCGGAGTTGAAAATTTGAATTGGCCGTTTGCGCCACATAGTCCGCCGTAGTGGGGAAGTACTCTAGAATGCCCCACTTTCACTTGCCTCCACTTGATTTGCTGACCTGCCACACCCAAGACCTTTCAAGAGCCGCATCTCTGGAGTAATCTCGACATTGATGCAGAAAAGAAACCGTGCGAGCACAAATCACGTAAGTTGTCACTTCTCTCGTTGGTGCCCGAAGTTGGAAAGGCTTGCAAATTTGCGCATAATTCTAGACAAACGTCTTGGATAGGCTACCAGTCCTAGATCTGCCAGTTGGGGCCGAAAGTGTAATCTGCCAGTGAACTGATTGCAAGCTAAGGCTATTTCACGCGTGGCCGCCCTCAATCAAAGCTAACGTATACTTCGTACTTATTGAGATCGAGACAAGATACCGCACAGCCTTACCACACACCTACATCTTGATACTCGCCTATAAAATGCCAATAGTGCAGACGATCGTGATTCGGTACCTTGATAAGCAAAAGTTGGACAGCCTTTTGAGGACTTTGTTCCCGGGTGTTGATTATGAGTGCGAGGTACAAATTATCCCCGTCTACTTCTCTCATTAAAACGTATTGACCGGGCGTGGCAGATCAAAGGTGATAACATAGAACCAACGGTGACACTGCGCAACATCTCAAGAAAGCTCACTGAGGTAATGTCGTCTCTCGCACCCCAAATCTAACTTGTCAAGTCCAGTATTAACTTCACTCAAGGCTGAGATGCAAAGCGTCAAGATAGTGTCTAAACAATAAACGTTGCTATGCCGCAATAGACCCTGGGTATTTTATTGAGCTTCGTACATGGAGTGAGCGGTTTGAGTGTGACCGGAAGGCTGATTCTAACAAGTTCGTTCTCAATAACAAAGTGTGCAAAGTGTATGGAAGTGTGGTATGGATTTCTAGTCTCACTGGAAGCTTAACACTCTGAATTCACCAATCAAATCTTGCAAGGTCAGAGCTCGAAGGAACTTGTTGAAATGAGATCTATGACGTAACATAGAGTCAAGAAATTGATACAATACCCGGATTTCTATCCATCTGACAAGGACTAACGATACATTTATATATATGTTGTTGAAGGGCGTGAAACGCCGGCGTGCGGAGCAGTAGACAGAATACGCCAAAAAGGCCGAAATATAAAGGTAGAGCCGAATCTACCCCAGGGCGTACAGAGGCCAGCTGAGCAAACTTGATAGGCGGAGTCGAAAGAGGCGAAAAAGGAATAGCTTTCGGAGGCGTCGACCGAGTTGTGGGTTGAGAAGTACCAACTTAGTTGCCCCTCTGACTGATTACTGAGATGCGGTCACTCTAAAATGACAGTACAGCCCGTCCCAAAAGGGGTCTACTATTCTTCCCACTGGGGGTCCCTAAACTCCCCACCGTGGGAAGATTAGGGCCACCCTATTCTTCCCACTACCCCGAACGGAGATAGGGCTACTAAATGTAGTAGTAGGGCTTCCCAACATAGCTAGCTCGGAGAACTTTGAATTTTATCTCTTGACTAGGTAAGTTTTGGTTTAAGTATTCTACTAGATAGGTGAAGGAATTACAAAAAACGGCACAAATCTATCAAATCTACTGCCAAATTGCATTGTTTTCTGCCATTCAATTGTGACAAATCCTGCCCTACTCTACACGCCAGATTTGCGTCTTCTGCTACGTAAGCATACACTGCTTCTGCAAACTCATCGTTTTTGAGCGTTTTGAGCACTTGCAGCTATGCGAGCGTTTTTCGTTGAATTTGCAGCTCTTTTGATAGCAGGCCTAAAATAGCTTGTATTTCTCATCAATCGCGGTAGCGCTGTGGCCGTTGTATCTCTCTCCGCGGCCGTTTCTTCGCTGGCGAGGTCATAGGGGATACCACTACTTGCGGAGGTGGTATAGCTTCGTCTGCAGGAGACAATGGGGATGTGGTGGAGGCGCGACGAAGAGGAGAGGGCGTAGATGGCACCGGTGTGGGTGACGGCCATAGAGGGAGGTCTAAATCAGCGAATGGCGAGGGCGTTCGAAGCAGTGGTAGAGGTGGATATAGAGGAGAAGGTGTTGTTCGCTTTTTCTGTAGGGAATTAGCCGCTTGAGAGTGTGGTGCTTGATACTCGATCCACCCTTGTATCTGAATACCACGGCGAGAAGGCTGTTGACGTTGACGTTGTAGCTCTGCACCAAGAGGGTCGTCATCACTATTGATATTCTCCTCCTGTGTCTCGCTAACAGCTATATCATCGATATCTATTGGCTGCTGACTATTGCCTAAAGACGATTTCTCTGCTGAATTGAGCGTAACAACCTTTAGAGGCGGTCGACGTCGCTGCTGTGAAGGTGCTTTTGTTCTGCGGTGACCCCTTTTCGACGAAGCAGTAACTAAAGCATCAACCTGACCTTGAATGACTTCGAACAGCGATAGCTGACGCTTTTGAGACTTAGTATATCGAGTGCTGACGGTTAGAGGGTCAGTAATTCTTCGAATAAGAGGGAGCTCAGCTAATTCTCCTAAACGATCAATTCTCCACTGAATATCAAAATCTGCTATCTCAAGAGGCAGATGCTTGATCATTCGTTGCTGCAAAAGATGAGCACAAGGTAGACCCCTTGTCGTTGTAAATACCTGCTTACAAGGAGTAAGAGGCAAATGAGCGTTTCGGAGCTATAGGTTATGAGAGCGTCGATGCTCCTCAACCTGATCAATAGCGTAATAGCTTATATGACCATGAAGCTTGCGATATAGTGGATTTTGAAGATCTGTTCTCTCCTTCTGTTGGCCATATTCAAGCTCTTCTCGTAGCTGCTTATTGTGTAGATCAAGATACATCGATAGATGATCTACAACGTCGTTTAGATGGATTCGTTGTGAGCCCATTTGACGCTTGATAGCCTGATGAACTCCCTCTGCTCTTGAGCTATCAACGTTGCCGTAGTGTCTGATTTTATCGGTCCACGCGCGTATGAAGGTCTCTTTGAACGGTAACCAAGTCCGGGTGAGATAATTAAGAATTCGAGGCTGCGAATGACGAAATTGACGCTGCAAAATGCTCCAAACTCGATCGTACTCAGTTTCTGTTGTTGCGTACAAAAGTTGTGACCAAACCCTAAGAAATTCATTAACACGCTCATTAATTATAGCTTTTCGAGCTTCGTTTGAGATATTTCTATCGGTTATTTCAAGCCATTCTTTTTGACAATAGGCTCTGACGTCCTTGTCAATATGCCAGCGACAGAGTAGATGAGGTACTTCAGGCCATACAACGCTGCAGGCGTTGTGAAGACCACCAGCCTTATCTGTTGTAATCGACTCTGGTATAGGTAGCTCATATTTCTTGTAGATATCTCGGATCCACTGCAAAACCCAGATATAGTCCTCCTCCTGCTCGTGCGTGAGAAAGGCCTGCCCTATAATGAATGACCTGTTGGTTGCCGTAAAGCCAACGATATCCAGCAACGGTAAGTTGAATCGATTAGTCTTGTATGTAGCATCAAGCACATAGCTTTTTGGAAACAGACGTAGAAGCTGTAAAGAGGCATTATGAAAAAAGAGAACTCTTTCTAAACGTTCGTGATCATCGAGAACGTACTGAAATTGATACTCATCACCGAGCTTCGATATCATGGCTTGAATAGCTGGTAAACCACGATTCAACGTCTGCTTGAATTTGTTATAGATATTCTCAATGTCTCGAAGAGTCAGAGGTGCCTCAGGGAACTGTTTTCGTATAGAGGAGAGGGTCTCTCTTGCAGATATTCGAGCTAGCTTGTTATTCTGAATCTGACTGAGAAGCTCTGGCCTGCTATTTCTCATATTTCGACGGTGGATAGGGTGAGCAGTCGATAGATGAGATGGATCGTGGTTATGCTCATTATGAGGCGCTTGACAGTGCTGTATACTCCATAGGCTATTGAGCTCCTCCTTTGACTGCCTAATTATACAGCGAAATGGACATTCTCGTCGCCTTGAAGAGCTCTTTCGAAGCTGCTTGCCATCAACCTTTGTAGAGGGCTTATTTCGGCCTGCGCGGTCGCATTCGAAGTACACAGCATAGGGATGAACATCATTTTTTTGACGCCGCTTTGAGGTGCGAACTCTCAACGCATAGCCGTGGGCCTGAGCCCATTCTTGAATAGATCGTTGAGCTTCGTCTCGAGATTCGAATAAGCCAATTGGAGGAGGTGGAATGTTAGAAATAGTCGTAGAAATCGGTAAAACCGTCCTATTCCTCCTATTCCTCTTCGTTATCTGGGTATTCGCCCGCAGGAGCAAATACTCTCCAAGGCCGTTGATTTTTGTATGGGTTTTCTGAGCTCACCCTCAACCGTGGTCGCTCTAGAGGTGACGTAGAGATGGCCGACGCTTCGTCAGTCTCTTCAAAGCCCTTACTCGGGTCATATCCGAGTTCGTCGTCGATGTAGACATGGTCAAAGTCCTCGTCAAATGGATCGAAGTCGTTATTAAAGGGATCAGATGTGACAGCGCAAATTTCGAGGCTAAAGATCAGCCTGACAAAGATAGCGTTTCTATGCATAGCGAGGAGGACTTGCCGCCTGTGAGTTCTTATAAACGAGCTCATAGCGAGGCTAAAACTGCTTCAAAATTGAAGAAGCCATAAGAGAGTGCTTTAACGTGTTAACAAGCAGCTGAGGAGGCTTTCCACGCTGCTATACTAAACTCAGCTATTAAGATTGGCCGTCAGCACAAGTGCGATTGACCTAACTGTCCGAATAATGGCTATTACTGCTATAATCTCTCTTGAATAGGCTATTTAAAGCTTAATATAGCTGATATTTATAAGTAGAGAGATACTATAAAGGATGACCCTGCTATTAATATCTATCATCCTCCTCTAAGAGTGCTAACCCGATTAATTAAGGGTTATAAGAAGCAGAAGGAGCAGAATCAACAGCCTCCTGTTACTCTACAGCCTCTAATATCTATTATAGCTTTGTCGACAGTAACTGGCTAAGGGATGACGCTTAATATCAACCTCTTAAGGAGTCCTCCACTAGCTACTCCTATCCACAAAAACGTAGATAATAAGGCTCAAGATACAGATATAAAGACCCTAGTTCCATCTGCTATAACATTAGCGTTAGCGCTACCCTTGCCAAGTAGCCCTATCCTATAGGCCAAAGATAAGGATGCCTGACTACTCACTTTTATTTAAGCTCAAATCCGTGCTTAGCCTACGTATTATGCTGCATTTAACTGTGCACAGGACCTGCTAATAAGTACTAGCGTAGGTTTTTTAGATTTGGCTAGTTTAAGCAATAAAGAATAAAAGGATATTAGTATTAACATTAATATCAAGATAAATTTGCTAAAAAATGACAAAATATAGTATCTATAGTATCCGGAGGCCATTAATAAGGTTACAAAGCATCTCTTAAGTAAGCTTAATCTTAATATACTTGAGAAGAGCAGAGATAAGGAGCTCTAAGCTTATAAATAGAGGATAATTAGCGTTAAGGAATATGTATAGATGTTAAGTAGTATATTAAGTTTATATATATTATTATTTATTTTATATAAAAACACGTAAAAATTTAATTACTAAAGTATATTTAAATTACTAGTATATATATAAGCTTACAAAATTTAATTCTAAAATTTTGTTTAAACAGGAAATCTGTACTAAGACTTAGGCTTAGCAGGATATTATAACTTAATATTATGAATTCTATCAAGATAACTGTTACAGCACAAAATGCCCTATAGCCTAGAGAGGCGTTAGGGCAGGGCATGGCATTAGCCAAGCATTAGCTGCGCGCCAAATGCTCCACCAGTGCTATGCCGCATCCGGTCTTAGGGCTGAGGGCTAGGGCAGGCTTGGCGCCCTGCGCGTCATACCTTTATCCTCACCTCTATAGCACCTAGAGAGTTCATCCATCTTCATACTAGTCAGTCATATAGTTGCCTTTTATAGCTTCTTCGTAACTCTCTGTTATCTCTATAGCACCCCTATACCCTGTTGCACAGCCTTCCGCATAATAATAATAGTTTGCTTTTTGATGATTATAACTTAATTATAGCAGCTATTACTACTTCTATATTATTAATTAATAGCTCTTTATCCGTATTATTTCTTTGTAGCTTTATAACGCCTTAAGCATATTATAAGGCATGTTAATAGTGATTTTGTTAATATAAAAATAATAATAATAAAAGTAATTCTTTATATGCTTCTTAACGCTATAAAGTTGCACAATAAGATAGAAAAAGCCCTTATACTAGTTAGAAAACTGCCTTATAAGCTCTTTATTTCGTCTTATCTATGCTTTCAATAAAAAAAATAAGAATTTGATAAGGTTAAAGTCAGGAGAATAAGGAGATAAATATATTAATTAAACACTTGTCTCTTAATATATATTTCTTAGCTCTTATATACAAATATTAGTATTAATAATAAATATAGCATTAAAAGCTTACTTAACTATAATAAGCGTTATAGTTATCTATAATTAGTACTAACTATAGCCTAGGATACAGATTTATCTTTATTAGTAATCTTTAAATAAATGTGTTAAATCTCTCACAGTTAAAGCTACTATAGTATATCTTATAGTTGAGATAGCTGTTAATCCCTATAGCTAGTAAGATACTCTATCTCCTTAAGCGCCTATTTAGTATTATTACTCTACATAATACGCCGCGTAAAGACCAACCTCTTTTATAGTCTTTTATGCGCTTATACATAACTGATTCGTTAACAAATATAGCCTCCTTAGCACGAACTTCACATATCTAAGCTCTATAGTAGTCTTGCAAGTCTTTATCTCGCTTAGCAGCTTGACGCTTAACCTACAAAGTAAGTCTGAATTTATGCGAATTAGAGTGATACAGTACTAACAGCTACTAGAAAATTTATAATCTTGATTAATTTATGAGTCAAGATTAATTCAAACTTATTCATTATTATTTTAGCACAAATAGTGCTCCTTCTGCTCTAAACACACCCTAGTTCTATCGAATTCAACATATAGCTGACCTCATTCGAACTGCTTATTAAGATGCCTATTATCCCTCCTCTTATATTACTATTAATAAAGCTATAGTCGCCTTTACAGGCTATTTAATAGATATAATTAAGCTAAAGAACAAGCCTATTAATACCAGCTATAAACTGTAATATATTAGTGATCATAGCTATATTTAGAGCTAGCTATTTCATTCTTAAATAGAGAGCGTTAAAACGCTTAAAAAAAGTAGAAAAATAAGCTAGCCGCGCTTACGCTCTACAGGCGAAACACATATAAAGGATTTAGTACTTATATTTACGCTTGTTTTACGTCTTATAAAATAGCTTCTAAAATAGCTTAAATTCTATATCTATTTAGATAATCTATTTCTAAATCTGCCTGTTATATAGTGCCTTTTAGCTCTAGGGGTCTATTATATAAGTATAATACATAAAAAAGCTAATAGATTTCCTTTACATCTTTAGAGCTATTTTGAGAAAAATAAGCTACTATAGAACTCTACTGTAGCAGAAATCATTAACAACAATACTCTCTGCTTCATCTAGCAAGATAATAAGGCCGTTAGCACTATTTCGACTACTTATAGCCTTTACAGGGCTGAGAATAAAGTTTAACATACGCAAAGATGCCTAAAAATAACGTCTAAAAATTAACGAATTCTACTACTTGTTTTTAATAATTAACTATTCAAAAAGCTCTTTATTCTAATAACTATTAATAACTATAACTATTATATAAAGGATATAAATTAAGCTAATTAATTATGCGTAGGCTTTATGTATTACAGAAAGCAGAATTATTAAATATAATAGCCCTTATTTTTTTTCTTATTAATATTACTTATATTAACGCTTATTTACTATAGAAATAAAATAATAATATATAGAATTATAATAGCTAACGTGGTTCACAAGCAGCCCGCC